CTTAACAGCTTTCAAGTGTGTGTTCATACTCACGTCAACTCCTGTAAATAAGAGTAATCTTAAGTCAAGCAATTCAAATCAAATATTTACGTTCAATAAGTCAATGACGGGCATAGATACTTTCAAAGAAAAAAAAAATAGGTAGGCCTACAAATCCTACATTCACTTAGTTTTTTAAAGTTTTAGTATAGGTTTTACGCCGCTCGCAACTGAATCAGGTCATATGATCGGCAGAAGATTAGGTGTTACAAAGGAGTAACAAACATAAAAAAGAAGAAGGGGAGATAAGGAAGATAGATGTTTCACAGGAAAGAAGAAACAAACCACACCAGAGCACCTGCCAACCACCCACTCTACATTCACTGACAGAGGAAACTTACCAGATACAGAAAATGAAAGCTTTATGTTAAGTAGGTGTTTAGAAATTATCATAAATGTCACCCCACATGACCTACAAATTCCTGTATTATTATTTTATTATTCTTAGCCCTGTCATCGGTCACTTGAAATAAGACATGTTCCGGCGCTCTCATCCCATTGTTTTTCTCTGTTCCCCTGTTACACACTGCAATGGGGTGTTATCAATCGAAAAAGAAAGTTGTCTAATTGTACGGTATCTAAATTTCAATTTCAATTATTTTTTAAAGTTGGCGTGGTCTAAAAGTCAACAAATAAGTTTTGGTCATTATCAGTTATGCCGCCAATATATTCTTGGGGGGGGGGGGGGGGGGCGCTACACCTGAAGGCTATCTCGCTTATTACAGGACCAAATTTTACCAAAATTTCACACATATAATAACAAGCATACTAAGGAGTCTTAAAATCCGCAATCAAATTTGAGAAAAAGTTTCATTTCCATGGATACGGCAGCCATATTGGATTTCGTTGACATGTCTTACGTAATGAATACCGCACTTATCGCTCATGGAAATTAATTGGGGGGGTTTTTTGCGTGCGTGTTCACAAACATTAGATCTAAAAATTTGTCTGTTGTTTTTTTCCTAAACGAATTAGAACATTTTTAATTAATTTTTTCCTGAGGTAGCATTCAAGTTTGCAAAAAATCCGTGAAAATCCACACTCCAGACACCACCACCAAAAATCTATTCCATATATCAAAAATTCAACAGACAAATTTTTAGTATTACATCTTCTCTTCATTCTGTGAAAAGTTCATGAAAATTGGATGAAAAACAAAAAGTAAAGAGGAAAGTCGCGTTTTGAGAAAACGGCTGATAAAGAAAAATAAAATACTGGCTTTAATGAGGAAATGGCGGTGACAAACATGCCCGGTATGGGGAAAAAATACGGTTTTTGGGGGTTCTTATGCGATGAAAATAGTGGTAGGAGAGGCTGAGGAAGCTAAAAATGCCTACAACTCAAATTCCATAATTTTGGGCCGAATTTGGACTTTGGGGGTGTAGCCACCCCCTAAGATCTCATATGATACGATGCTATAAAATAAAATACTCTTATCCCGACAGCATGTAGGCCTAAATTCAAATTTTACGTAAAAAATATAAATAACAAAATAACTACAACATGGTTAGTAAACTGTATGATAGCAGAAATGATTTCTCTATCCTGAAACACACTGAGTTGCCATGTTTCATTCAAATGCTCTGATTAGTAACAGAGATGTTGATTTTCTTTCAGAACCTGCTGTTATGTGGTTTATTTTTTGAAAAAAATTTCCTCTGCAAGTCATTTTTGGGGTGGCCACATTTCACAACCCCAAAACTTTTTTATATTTTTGAACCAATTAATTCTCTAAAAAAATGTATTTACATAACTATAATGCTTAGAATAGACAGCTCTTTCTGGGGTTCCAAACGCAAAAGGGCTAAAGAAGCGAAAAATTAATTTTTCACTGGCATTGCTAGGAATTAGCACAACATAAAAAAAGGAAGAACAAAAAAATGCCACACCTAACTGAAAATATCAAAGACAGAATAATGTCGCAAACCTTTTCAGAGATGAAATGTAACCCTTATTTCACTACTGTTCAGAGATGAAAGTCTTATAATCTGATAAGAATAAATCCAATTTCTTAAGGCCCCCATTATCAGCCGGCCGCCAGGGTCACCCAGAGGTCAGATTGTGTCCTGCAAGCGGTCCTGGAAACGTGTGTTTTTGCCGTGAATATATATCATGGGGGGTGCGATAATGAAAATAAAGCTTTATCTTTTATATTATAATAATAAAAGTTACGAACACATGAATAAACCCCTCTCATATGCTGATTACAAGTAGTAGTAGTTACACCCATTTGAATAACCTTTGTTTGTTTTAGTCAGGTTTTATGATGCTCACAACTGCATAAGGTCATAAGAGTGCCAAGGGGTGGATGTCAACAGAGATATCTAAATGGGGAATCAAGCTTACTCTGCTCACCTCTCCAGCCTCAACAGCACAAAGTCTGCTTCAACTATCAAGGCACCCCGGAAATAGCAGTTCGCAAGAGAGTGACCAACATACAAAAGAAGTAGAGGAAAATGACGATAGTAAGGATGAGGAAAGAAAAGCAACAGTTGCCCCTATGTTGTTCCGGCACAGTATTAGCATGACATTGATAAATCAGCCCATTTACAATTCTGCTGTACATAAGAACATAATAATTGCCCCCCTTTGGGAATGGCCTAAAGACACTTCAGTCAGTAGCATCGCCCTTATGGGGGTGAATAACCTTTAAGATGGAAAAAATATCAGTAAATTTCCGAATTTTTTACTCAAAATAGCTATTTTTATCTGGTAATATCATTTCATGTAAAATCAAGCTCATTTGAAAGTTCAGAAAGATATTGTATTGAAAACTGGAAGCCTTGTAATTGTTTCCAGGTTATTCTTTTGAGCTCCTGATGTGTAAGTGGGTCAGTTTGTTCAAATGTCATTGGACCAACATCTTGAGGTACTAACTTGGCGTGTTTCGAACGAGATGTATGTACCTCAGTTTCGGACCAACGAAGATGATTCTAGAAGTAGGGCACAAACGCACACAAACAGACTGATGAAGACACACTTGACCTGCGGAAATTCAGGACCCGCCAGTCACACAGAGATGCTCAGCGTGCATACTACGCCGAGTGGGGCAGGACAGACAGATAAAGGACCCCAGAGAGCAAAGGTGTCAAAATACACTTATCGGGGAACATCCAAGGGGCAGGTGTTAAGATAACATCAGAATACAATACCTGTAACAGTCCCGTGAACTTGAGTTCCATTCTTCAGTTCTATGGTCACCGTTTCATGACTTAACTTCATCAAGAATCTGCGGAGATAAAAAAAAACCCAGAATGTAATAATCATATTATTAATAATAAATAATACAGTTGACCGTGACATGACTGCCAACTGTAGGAACGGCCACTTTCCACCACTCCCCCCCCCCTGCGTTTTTTCTACATAATTTAACTGTAAAACGTCACCTGTCCATGGCGGCCGCCTTATTTCATCAACCTATAACTAAATTTACCTGCGTGAGGTGGCCAGGCGTGGTCTCAACTGGCCTGATGCTTTGTCCATAAACTTTTAATCAGCCCCTCACATTGTGGGCGGGCCGTCATAATTCATTCATCTGTCATTATTGCATTGTTAGTCCATCCAATGAATGTTTATCTAAGTTGATCAGTGGGTAACAATAAATATTCAAATACTGATGAGGGAAGCATGTGATCCATCATAACCTATAAGCCCCACCCACAACTCATACACAAATCATATGTGAGGAGACTGGTCACTGTTTTGTTGACCTAATCTGTAACAACATAAAAATGGAACTTGCGATGTAATTGATTAATCGGCTCGATTTGACCCCATCTTTTGCGAGCATGACTTGAAAATTTTAAACACTGTTACTTGAGAGGCAGACCACCCTGATCATATTGATACATGTACACCACCACTTCTAAGAGTAGTGTTAGAGCCACTCTTCACTCCCAGAGCAATGAAAAGTAAAGACCTAAATAAATCGCCAACAAAATGTATTCTACATATGTACTTCAAGAGCTATAAAACTACAGTAGAACATGACTAGAGCAGCATCTGCAACAGCAGGACCTTACCGGGATCCCCCTTTTTCCTCTATGTAAACTCAATTACATGTGCTTGGGTTTAGTGGGGCAAGGAAAGGCCGAAAATCATTATCTTCAGTTAATAACATGTTTTTTTAAAAGATTTCAAACAAATTAGTTTATTATTGTACAAACACAGCCTACAAATTGGAAGCCTACACCGACCTATGTCCACAGGACTAAAACCCGATACAGCGGGAGAGATCGAGCAAGCTCTTGCTGGGTGTGTGTGTGTGTGTGCATGTTACAGGCAGTCAGCGGTGTGGCGTTGTGATTGGCCAGTCCAGTCATGAATGAGGTGGGGTGAGAGGGTGAGAGAGAGAGAGAGAGAGAGAGAGAGAGAGAGAGAGAGAGAGAGAGAGAGAAGAGAGAGACGAGAGAGAGAGAGACAAGAGAGAGAGAGAGACGAGAGAGAGAGAGACGAGATGAGAGAGAGAGGAGAGAGAGAGAGATAAGACATTCAGCCGGAGTTGAAATTAATGTTTACACTGAGGTAAGTGGAAACTGTGGTGCCCTATTATTCAGTAGTGAATGGGGTAAGACTACCATAGCCTACACCCTCTTTTGGTAATATCCTATTTTAGCATCCAATTTATCGTAATCATATGTGAGGCAGCGTGGTGAAATCAGGAGCTCATCAAAATAACGAAATAAGCATTTTTCGCGAGTTAGGAAATTTTTATTTTGGGGCTTAACCTCTTATCTTATGTCCATTTACAACTAAACACATTTCCTCATTTCCATGGGAATTTTACAGAAAAACATTGATTAACGGAACAAAATATGTCATTTTTCAGCCTGATTCCACCCCGTCGCGACACATATCAAGTAATTGTAGTCGTATACTCAGGTCTTACAATCGGATTCATAGGTTCAGAGAAGAGAAAAAGAAGTTAGGGTTAAAGCTAGGAATAGGATTCAGGGAAAAGCCAAGATTGACCACAAAATTTATTGACTCTCAGCATTCAACTCCATTAAAAACCCAATGGTTTGGTGCATGAACTGCAGCTTCTTCATAGTGGGTAAGTTTTTAAAATAAGGCAGAAGGCCCCGCAGGAAGGTCAGATCTTCGTCCTCCACCTCGTGCGCTAGTCTCTGTCGTTTGGACCCAATGTACTCCAGGATGGCTTGTTGCACTGGGTCCTCATCAGTTCTTTGTCTTTTCCCAGCAGGACTGGGTCTTGGGGTGGATGTTCTGCTTGCAGTTGGCACCAGTGTGGAAAGACCACCAGAAGTCCCTGCTTCTTCCGAATTGAGAAAGTTTGGTGTATGTGAAGGTGTCAAAAGTTGGGTGTCCACAGTTTCCAGTGTGAACTGGCTGTCATCCAACTCTATTTTCGGTATGCCTACATCATCCTGGTCTTCACTGCTGTCAGTGCTGTCGTCCGCATTTCCTTGACTGTCATCATGAGGCCCCAAATTTCCAGTCATTTGACCATTGGAAACATGGTCTTTCAGAAACAGCATGTGCTGAAAAAAATGCCACTTGGGCTGCTTGTCTGCAGAAGAGCCACTTGGCAGATTCCGCATACTGGCCAAGTTCCTGTTAAAGGTGCAACGCAGTGATGCCCATGTCGCTTTGCAGAAAGGAACTGAAAAAGGAATGAAAAGAAAAACAATTGTCAAGCATTGCTAACCTACTACGCATGTAATTACAATACCCTATTCATACATGTACCCTGTGGATTTGTCACACTCTCATCAATTACACCTTCAACATATAGGCTGTGAGACTAATACAACCCTGACCTCTTACAATACCTTCTACCGGTATCTCCGCTTTAGAAGTTTGATTTCACTTGTGTCAAAATAAAAAGATACAGCTACAGCTGTATTTATTTAATCGTTAGATTTTCAAAATGTAGTTATGTGGACAATGAAGCCTGAAAGAATTCTTTTAATCTAATGGGACCAAGAGTTTAGTAGTTAGGCCTGCCATTTCTCTCTATAACATTAATAGAAGATTTTATATATACATATATTATATATATATCTGTGTGCGTGTGTGTGATCTGAACTAACTCTTCCTCATCATGATTAACTGTTCTCCTTAATGTTGTCCTCAGTCCTCAATAGGTCTGCCTTCTGTTTCTTGCTATGTGTCCCTACACATTTCAGCCCCCCTCTTTGCTGATGAAGTGAAGAAGCTGCTGTTAAGCTGATAATTCCCTTTGTGAACCTTTCAATGGTTCTTTTGCCTCGGCAGTTGACTTTGAAGTGGAGATCTGCATAAACCACATCTCTACCACTTATACTTATATTTATAGCTTTTATATATTTCCAAGCCTAATCACCTGGATCACACTCCCCCTATTCCTCTCACTTCCTTATTTGTCATATAATGCCCCCCCCCCCCCCCCCCCCAGTTTTCCTCAGTCTCTATTTCATACCGCCTTCCTCCCCCTTTTCAGCCTTGGTTATACACCTCTCTGGTTAAACATGGTTTGCACCGGTTGGTTTAATATTTTAAATTGCTTTACTGTGTTAACAGGCAGAGTTGGGTTGATTTAAATCAGTTGATTTTTTAAATTTAAATCAACTTGATTTTTTAAATAAAAACCAGTGATTTAAATCACTTTTTAAAAAAATTATTTTTATTCAGTTTTTATATATTTCAACATTCAGAATTCCTTTCCTTGGTTTCATAAAACAGATATAAGGTTTACAAGACTAATATAATCATGCTGAAAAGTCTGCTTTCCCCCCTTTCACTGTAAATAATACAGTATTCAATTTACTTTTTCCCCCATAAATTTGAAATCAGAGCTGGGTTGATTTAAATCAGTTGATTTTTTTATTTTAATAAACTTGATTTTTAAAATAAAAATCAGTGATTTAAATCACTTTATAAGAAATCATGAATGTATTCAGTTTTTACATATTTAAACATTCAGAATTCCTTTCCTTGATTTTATTAAACAGATATTTAAGGTTTAGTAGACTAATATAATCATGCTGAAAAGTCTGCTTTCCCCCGTCACTGTAAAATAATACAGTATTCAATTTACTTTTTTTTCATAATTGAAAACCAGGGTTGGGTTGATTTAAATCAGTCGATTAAAAAAAAATTTTAATCGACTTGATTTAAAAAATAAAACTCAGTGATTTAAATTATTTTTAAAAAATGTATTTTGTTTTTACATCTTTAAACATTCAGAATTCCTTTCCTTGGTTTTATAAAAACAGAAATAAGGTTTAGTAGACTAATATAATCATGCTCAAAAAGTCTGCTTCCCCCCCCCCCCCCCCCCCCCTGTGTGTCACTGTAAGTAGTAAAATAATACAGTATTCAATTTACTTTTTTTTTCATAATTGAAATTAGCATTTTCTTTTTCTTTTTAGACAAACACAAGTGTGCGCGCACACACACACACACACTGTAATAAAATGTAAGTTTATCTGTGCATAATTACCCCCCCCCCCCTCCTTTTAAACTGACTTTTTTCTTTCATTTTTTGTCTGTAGCCATAATTCACTGATATAGCAGATTAAGGCTTTCTTTCGCAGTTGCTTAAATTAATCATTAGTTAAAATAAAGACAATGCATTTTACACTAAAAGAACATACTTTTAGCCACCAAAAATCCCAAACTGTGTCGACATTTATTTAAAATAGAAAAAATATTAAAAATCTGATTTAAATCAAAAGTCTGATTAAAATTTTTTAAACCGATCTTTTTGATTTTGATTTTAAAAATCAAAAAAATCACCAACCCTGTTCACAGGTATCTGGCAACTGGACAAAACTTTCAAAGTCTTATTACCACTTTAGAGTGGCGATAAAACTGCCAGAAAAGTGGTCTATGATGTCTGCACTGCCATTTGGAACAGACTTAGTCCTGTTGAACTGCAACCAGCTACCAGAGAAACTTTCACCAAAACATCACAGAAATTTCTTATCTTGAGGCAGTTCCCTAATTGTGTAGGTTGCATTGATGGCAAACACATCAAAATACAATGCCCTAACCTCTCACGTACACAGTACTTTAATTACAAAGGGACATTCTCAATTGTTTTACAAGCCGTGGCAGACGTTGATGGATTATTTCAGTACACTGATGTTGGTGACTTCGGGCGACATTGTTATGCCGGAGTATTTAACCCTATCCGTACGTTGTGTTTTACTATCTTGTCTTATCCATACGACGTAGGGAACTCTGCCACCACTTTCCAAAGAGGAAATTTACTCGTTAACCCGATCCGTACGCTTTGCATAGCAGTCTGTCAAAATAATTTTTTGAGAAATACTGAAAGTTTCAAAGAGATTTTCATACTAGAAGTATTCTAAAATGAGAAGAATACAACCCCGGGGGTTCAAAATGACCCCAAGAGCACTAACAAACAACAGCCTACAACTCCCTGAAGATGCTCCTGTTTTAGGGTCTGAACCACTTCCATTTGTATTCCTCGGTGACGAAGCATATCCTCTCTAAAAGCATCTGATGAAACCATACTCGAGGGGAGATCTTGATGTTACAAAGCGCATATATATATAATTATAAACACTCTCGGGCAAGGAGAGTCATCGAGTGTATTTACGACATGATGAGGGCAAAGTGGGGGTCACTACAAACAACACTGACAGTGGCACCGGAGCATGCCAGCCTTAGCTTGCTGTGTCGTCCACAACTATGCCAGGCAAAGGCAAGGAAGGGACTTATCAAGCGGATTTTGAATTCAAAGAGGGAGAAACCCTGAAACCATCGAGCCAACAGTCAAATTTTGGTCGTCCAACTCAAGAAGCTATGATTCCTATGAACATTCGAGGGAGATTTGCTCGTTTACTTGAGGACAATATCACAGTGCCATGGCAAGCTTGAAGCTAGATCTATATGTTGAGTAAACTAAATTCTCACCGTCACGTAGAACTTCATCTGACACTGCTTTCCACGCCAGCTCCGACACATTTCTGTTCCTATAGCATGCATCCCTTGCATTATACAGGCATTCTCTCTTCTGAATAGCTGTTATCAACGCCTCTGCTGTGTCAACTGCAATCTTTTTTGGCATGGTGATCTATCTGAAAAAAGAACAAAAACCAGTAGTATAATGTTGTGATGGGAAGGGCCCTAATATGTGGACAGGCACAATCACTCTTCCAGGCATTGCATTCAGAACAATAACAATAATAAGAAAGTCTGTTCGTATTATTTGTTTGAATTGTGAAAAATTTTAGTCATTAACTGGCATGTGAGCACATGAAGCTTCCTTTTGCATGCTATGTGTATGGCTATTTCTTATCAGAAGTAGACATCTATCTGCTTCTAAATGAGCCTTTGCCAAAAGGTGGGATACCAGGGTGTGACAAATGAGGTCCAAAATCAACTTTAGTAAACTCTTTATTTAATCATTCATTTATATAGCCTAATGATTGCTCTTACAGGCTCAGTAACTGCCAAATCTGTATACGCAATGGTCTTGGTGTAATTCTGGCTTAAATGACGGAAACATTGTTCATAACGATGACACAAATTTATGAATAATCAAAGTTCCTTTCTTCAGCAAGGTCCAGGTTATATTTTGAGACATAGCAACCAACTTCCAAAAATACATAAAATTGACAGGATATAAATTTTTTTTAAAAACAATATTTGATAAAATTACCTTTTTGTGTCATGATAGTTATGCATGAACTAACAATAAATGATAAAAAACCCTGATAAAATTACCTTTTTGTGTCATGATGATAGTTATGAACTAACAATAAATGATTTAAAAAACTATCAATTATGTCAAGTTTCATTGACGACTAGAATGGTCTATAAAAATAACACTGGTTTAATTATAGCCAAGTGATTAATAGAAAACCACTTAATTATTTTTCAATGTTAACTGGTCATAGGGAATGTTATGAATAAATTACTGGTTCGTTCATTACCATTATGACGCACTGTTTCGTTCATAACTATGACAAATTTTACTTTGGGCTGAAATAATTAACTTATTCTTCTGTCATTCACATAAAATGGTTTTCATTCATAAGACTCTCCTCAAAATATACATTTTATGATGGAAGAATACGAAGTTTATTCATGAAAAACCCTCATAATACATTTGATGGTTCGTTCATAACAATTATGACAAACTTCAGTTTTGACCTAAAAATTTATACACTTGACCTGCCATTCACTTTAAAAAACTTTTCTTTTAAATGAAACTCTCCTCATCATATTATATTTATCTGTGAACATGTTTTTAATGTTTATACACACTGAAAAGCCCTCAAAATGTATTAAATAGACAAGAAGTAGTTTGTTCATAACAATTACTACAGAAGTAAAATATTCATAAAAAATACACACCCATACACTTGTGACAAAACTCAAAATATCAGAATGTAAGCAAGGTCTAATACATCCTTTAGTTGGGTTAAAATTAAAATTACATCCTAAAACGAATGTAAATTACATGAAAAGAGGTTTCGTTCATAACTGTTATGACACACTGTTTCATTCATAACTAGACAAATTTTACTTTGGGCCCAAAAAATGTACTTGTCATTGTCATTCACATAAAATTGTTTTCATTTATGAGACTCTCCTCAAAATATGCATATTATATGTAGGAAGAATGTAAAGTATATACACTGAAAAACCATCAGATTACATTTAATGGTTTGTTCATAACAATTATCACAAATTTCAGTTTTGACCTAAAAATTAATTGTTCTGTTATAAAAAAACACTTTTATTAAATGAAACTCTCCACATAATATGTATCTGTGTACATGTTTTTAAAGTTTATTAACACTGAAAAGCCCCAAAATATGTTAAATGTGAGGCATCGTGGTGAAATCAGACGCTCGTCAAAATAATGAAATCGAAGACAGCGGCATTTTCCCACCAGTTAGACCTTTTTTTCTCCTAATTTTTGTTTTTATGGCTCAACACTTTTCATGTCTACTTAAAAGATATTTCCACATGGATTTTATTGACAAACGTTGATTTAACGCTCAACAAATGTAAATATTGAGTTTCCAAGGATTTTCAAGCTTTGGAAATCAACAACATTTGTCGGCCATTTTCTCACAAATTTTACCTCTAAAACCAAGTGTCTCCAAACTTTTTCAATCACAAATATCTCAACTTCTATTCAAGATAGATATATATATATATATTGTATTAATAGAAAGAAACATAGTCAAATGAACAAGCTTTACGATAATACCAAGAAGTACAGATGCTCAAAAATTGACGAACGCCTGATTTAACCATGTTGTAACTCAAATGGACAAGAAGCAGTTCGTTTCATAACAATTACTACAAAAGTAAAATACTGATTAAAATACACACCCATACACTAATGATAAAAATCAAAATATCAGAATGTAAGCAAGGTCTAATACATTCTTTTGTAGGGTTAAAATAAAAAATACATCCCAAAACAACTGTAACAACATTGTAATATAAAGTTTAGTTCATAACCATTATGACATACTGTCATCTTCATAACATTGAATTACATTGTGACAATCCATTATGACAAGCATATTTTTGCTTCTACTTCGCATCTCTTTTGAGTCCTCATCATGCTGTTCTTCCATGTTTATGCCACCACGTAAAAGGATGTTGTGAAACAGTGGCAAGTCCAACACATGATATTTTGCGTAAATATCATAAAGTGTTTGTTCAAAACATTATAACAAACCTGGAGTATCTCAATTAAAGTCATATTTAAAGCCAAACCATGCGACGGAGCGGAAAAATTACCCTTTTGATGGATCAATGTCAAATCAATGTTTAATATCCGTCATTCCTGGGGTGGTATGTTTACAATTTGGGTTTTCTAGACCTTGGAAAGTCTGATGATGTAATTATGATACGAGTTATGAACGAACTTATATAATATATTTTACTCCGCAATAACATCACTAATATAAAAAAAAATAAAACCTTGTCAATAGACACATGATGTTATGATGGTGTATACTACGTATATCAAAAATTTTCAAAGTTTGAATGCACTTCTGTTAGATAGTTCAAGATTAAAAATATTCTGTATTCAACATACAATTACGTGTGCACTCAAGATGCGTAAAAAATGCCCTATTTTTAGTACTATTATATTTCTAAGAAGAGATATAAGATGCACACATCAATCTACCTGCTCATGTAGCTTGACCAACTTATTTCCTTGCCCATATATGCATTATGTTTTCAGTAGAAAACATATTTTTCCATGAGTAGCGGTTGATTTAAAAAGTCCTTATGCAAACACCCCCACCTTTTGGCAATTCAGAATGCTCTGATGAACTTGTTAACATGACCATGTAAGCTTTCTCGCCAGAGATCAATAGAGGTTCATTCATTCACTCATTCATTTCGATGCCATTGTAGACATCTAGATCTAGATCTACATGGTCATGTATCAGCTTTTAAGTCTAAACTTGATGCCAATCAAGTGAAGGGTTCCTGGTATGATAAATGTAAATATTATTAAGCAATTATTGTTGTACCTGTAGGTCTAAGTCTGTTGTGAGAAGGGGGAGTGTGTACTAGTGGTGAGAATCACGTTAGCTCTCTTGAGAACAAAATAATCTAGATCAAGTGCTTTAATTCTATTTTTTTGCTGTTTTTCAGCACAAATCTACTATTGTACAACATATTATAATGAGATACAACTATATTGATAATGTAATATGCAATGAAGAAGCAAAAATGTACTTACAGATGCAAATTTCCTTCCAAAATGAGTTGAATTGAGGTTTTCCTAGTCACCTGTACGGCTGACGAAAAAACGGGCATGCAGGAAAATCGCGTAGTCAGGCAAAGGAAGTCAGTGACTGACGAAAACGTGCTCATTTTCATATGAGCCTGGCCTGCAACTGAGGAAAAATGCCAGTGGAATTGGGTCCTAACCCTCTATTCTACTCTGTTTTGTATATGAAGCTACAGCGAACACTTAGATTCTAGCACACCTCTGTGATTGGTCCAAAGAAAGATGACGTATTTCCGCCCTCTATTTTTGTCGTCTTCCAGGGTTTCCCCAAAGACTCTTGGGTTCCCCTCGCCAGTAGCTGTTGACTACATCTTGCCGTGTATGTTTGTATTAATTTGTGTTATCTTTTATAAACAATCTCAGCAATTCTCGTTTCATAAATTTACTTTCTCCTCAAATTTGTACACTGTAAGCACGGGCGCACGTACCAATTTTGAGGTAGATCTAGTTTTTTTTTTTCGATATGAGCTAGGGATCTAGATCTAGATCTATATAAAAAAATTCAAATTTTACGAACACAAAAAAAACCCAAACAAACGTGGCTAAACGTAAAATGAAACACCTGCCTGATTTGTGGCTAATTTTAGTAATGTGATGTCATCACATCCTAGCATATCCATACACTATTTTTAGAAGGCCATGTAGATACCAAAGGTGTAGTAGAGAATCTTTGGAGATACTGCATAGAACGACATGTTGGGTCAGTGGCTTGACGTATTATCCGTATCAATGAATTTTGCATGGTAAAATTTCACACTTGCGGCTAACTGCAGCCCATCAGCCATGCTCTACTGATTGGTTACAAGGTTTACGGTATGATAATAACATTTCGGAATTCCGGTAGTGATGTTTGAAATTGAAACACGGTATATGCAAAGACAACAAAGTGCGCAAAAATTGACGTAAAAACATCGGAAGATAACCCCCTCCCCTGGCGCGATAAACAATGTGCAGAAGAGATAGCAGCGGCATCATATCACATTACTAGTATTCCTGGAAAAACAACGCACCAAAGCGTCGTGCCATCAAAGATTCTCAACACGATCTTTAGTGCCATGCGGATCATCATGGCTATATTTAGATGTAGTCACGTGATAGGAGGGGTATCCCGGTGTGACGTCACTCAAGGGGGCTCTTTGGAAATTGCCTTCCCGTTTGTTTACATAAGAAACAAGCAATTGCTAAGGACAAAAGTGGCCATGTAGGCTAAGTGAACCTTACCACTGTTAGCCAGTAATATTTTTCTGCCTTTTCTGCATAACATTTTTTGGGGGTCAGATTGAACTTTGGTGGACCCATTGTGTTTACAGGTGTATTATTAATCTAATGCGCACTAACCTAGGCGGTCATAAAACAGGCAGCGCAGCCCGAGACAACACACCTTGCTTGTGGGCTGGCACACCCGCTGCTCAGGCTTCGGCCGGAGACAAAAAAGTAGAGACGCGTCACTCCTCGATTTAGGCGAGATTGGTGTCAGGCATCCGGTGAAAGTTTCACGCCGTACAACTAATAGTCTGTTGCTCACAACTGAGGAATCACCTTATTGTTTTCATAGTAAATTAAGCAAGGCCCCCTCTCCTTATTCCTGGCTCGCATCTCATTGCATTAGTGCGCACAATACGCCAAATCTTTTCTATTCTTCTTGTTTTACTCCTTTTTCTTTGTCATTTTCTTCTTGTTCTTGTTTTTCTTCTTGTTCTTGTTTTTCTTCTCCTTGTTCTTCTTCTTCTTCTTCTTCTTCTTGTTTTTCTTCTTCTTCTTCTAGTTCTTGTTTTTCTTCCTTCTTCTTCTTCTTCGTGGGTGGTTGGCGTGTGCTCTGGTGTGGTTTATTCCTTCTTTCCTATCCAGGCACCTATGGTCCTTGATCTCTCCTCCTCCTCCTGTTTTATGTATGTAACTCTCTTGTAACGCATCTATTCTTCGACACTTATATGATATTGTTGCAACGCAGCATCTGCAAGTGCCGTAAAACTCTTACTAAAACTATTTTTAAAAACTCTGCTTCCTCTTCCTTCACTGGAGCATACATTTGATGAATTGATTAATTATGCGCACATTTATTGACCAACTTCACCACATACTGCTACTTCCGACCTATTGACTGAGATGGCTCCTCACTCCTACTCCTCCCTCTGTCCCTATAGGAAATAACAAGGGGAAGTGACTTTGAGAGGAACAGACTATGAAATGTACGGCGTGACATAGTTTTGAGGCACTGCGTCACCGATCTCGCGTAAATAACATGATGCGAAGAAGGGCCACCTGACGAGTGAAATATCTCTCACTAGTCATCTCCGCTTCGGCCCGTAGCAGGCAGTGACTCTATCTCTCTCTCCTCTCCCCCCCCCTCTCTCTCTCTCAATGGTTTAGCTTCCTGTGTTTGTGTTTAAACGAACGGACATATATATGTAAAAAATTATTATATCTAGACAGACAAAAACGATGGAAAGACAGAGAGTTGACTTGAGTTGAGTTAGATTTTTACAGTACTTTAAAAACATCGAAGTCATTTCAGCGCCAGGAGGAAATCAATTCACAAGAGAGTGAAGAAAGGAGTACAAAAAAACGACAGCAGAGTCAGAAAGAAGGAGCAAACCATAATATCAGAGCGCCCGACAACCACCCACGCCGACAGACAAACATGGGCATCACATCCAAAGACAGATATAGAAATGGATGGATAGACAAGACAGATTCACAGCAACAGCTAAGGTTTCTAGTAATCAGAAAGAGACAAATTGACAGATAATGAGAGTAGTGAGTGTGAACAGTTTTTCCGATGGATAGGTCAGACCACCACGGTTGATTTCCTCAAGATATACTCTGACATTTGGTGTACTGTCTAAGGGGTTGCCAACAAGCTCACTGTGTTTGAAAGCAACGTAGCCAGCAATGTGAAAAATTGACAGCTTTTCATCTGCAGTCACAGTTATTTTCCCTCTACCATGTCGTCAATGAGTAGCAGGATATGGTGGTCCCGACTTTTGTGTAGGCCCACTGACCTAAAAAGAAACATGAGGTGTTTCAGGGGGCCCCGCCCTATGCTGAATTTGACCACGATTTGATGGTTTAATAGGCTATCTCTCCATGGACCATATCGGCATGCGCATCCAAAAGTAAGGTAGTGTCAATTGCCACCGAGTGACGCGGTGGCAATTGACAAAAATTGACTTTTTGTCAATTGCCACCGAGTAAATTGGAGCTCTTTTGCGTTGGTGGGTAGATCTA